GCATTGGTTTCATTCCTTAATATTAATTAGGAGGAAAGAGACGATTTCTTAATTATCGGGCGAATTACTGGGGAAGCGCTCTGCGCCGAGAAACCATTGAGTTTTTCATAGCGCCGCGAATTTCGTCGCATTTTTTATTTTTTTATTACAGAGATTAAGGAATGAAACGGGGGTTGAAGGATGGGGAATTTAATTCTCCATCGAACAGCATTGGTTTCATTCCTTATATGTTAATTAGGAGCAGAGAGACGATTTTTTAATTGGCGGGCGAGTTGTCGGGAGTCACTGCGCCGAGAAACCATTGGTTTTTCATAGCGCCGCGACTTTCGTCGCAATATTAATTTTTATTACAGAGATTAAGGAATGAAACGGGGGTTGAAGGATGGGGAATTTAATTCTCCATCGAACAGCATTGGTTTCATTCCTTATTGTTAATTAGGAGGGGAGAGACGATTTTTTAATTAGCGGGCGAATTATTGGGGAGTCACTCTGCGCCGAGAAAACATTGGGTTTCTTATAGCGCCGTGACTTTCGTCGCAATATTAATTTTTTTATTGCAGAGATTAAGGTATGAAACGGGGGTTGATGGATGGCGAATTTAATTCTCCATTGAACAGTCTTTGTTTCATTCCTTAATATTAATTAGCCGGCGAATATATCAACTGAAAAACATAAAGTAAACACTGAGTACAAGGAAGACAAAAATCCCCCTCCAAACCTGTCCCTGTCACAGCAGGACCAGTGATGCCAGATGGGAATTCCCACACGCTCCCCACTCCTCTCGGGTAATAGTGCGCAGCCTTTAGGGCGCAGTNTCACGCACCCGACTCACATTTACCGACAATGCGACCGGGACGCCGCCTTTCCCGTGGGGTACCAACTAACATTTTTGGAGTCAGTCAAACCCCCCGATCCGGGCCTCTACTCAGGTCTATCCTCTTTGGTCGTATCTCTGGTCAGTAGCAGTCCCTGGTCCCTGGTGGTGCTCCCGACCACTGAAATCTAGGTTAGTTCTTTAGAAAAATTTAGTGTAATAAGTTCGAATTATAAGAAGGTTTTGTGACGAGCTCAAAGAGTTATCATAGATATAGTTTAAAGATAACGGAATATTTGATCAACAGTTGACTTGACATGCCTTTAGGTGTGAAACCGGAGTGTATCAAATGTGGTGGGCGGGAGACAGTTCTCTGGCACTCGACAGAACTCGGTAGTTTGTGTAATGAATGTATTGAGGATGAAAGAAGTACTAGTAACTCCGGGAAGGCTGATGAGGATGAGAAAAATGGATCAAAGCCTGCAAGGAAGAGTACGAGAATTACTCGATACTGCAAACCTAAACTTAGTGCTCCTGGCAAGGGGGTATTGAAGGGGAAAGGTCGACGAAATATTTTTAAGAAACAGGTGAAACATCGTCAATTTTCAATGAACTATTACTGATTTTCATTTGTTAAAACTGTTATGTTTCATCTCTCCTGAATTGAGGATTTTATTTTTCTCCTCAGCCAGTCAAAGCCCCTTCAGCAGTTGCAACTCCAGTGACTAGTAATTTCCTCTTCTACAAAGGTTCATATTTTCAAGTTGGGGATGTTGTATCCATGGAGGATATGGATGGAGGAGTCTACTACGCCCAAATTAGGGGATTATTGACTGATCAGTACTGTGAAAAGAGTGCTGCTATCACCTGGCTTTTGCCGACAACTGCAAGGTGATTGATCAATTGCGTAGTGCAGTGGTTGAACGAGATGAGCCAACTCAACTGCAGGATTAGATTTTGCTGAATATCCTTCAATCTGAAGGGGATTGAAGTTCATTCCTTTTGTATAACCCTCATTCTCTTCTGCAAGAAAGTTTTTTATGGAAACTTGGAAATAAATTTTGATTTTCAAGATATTCAGCACAAACTGATTCCGAAGAGATAATTCACTCTTTTTATATTGTCAATGAATTGAAATGGAACAAATGCTGTTTGCATTTATTTTATATTTAGTTTTTTTCGTACTAATTAATTATTATCTTCATTGTTTGGATTCAGTCCACCACCTGGAGAAGGTTTCAGCCCGGAATCCTATATAATAGGACCAGAGGAAGATCTCCCTCGTAAATTAGAGTGTATGGAATTCGTAATGCATGCACCATCAGACTACTACAAACTGAAGAATACTCCGTATCCTCCCCTACTGACAGAGGATGGTTGTGGATACATCTGGACATCACTCAGAAATGAAATGAACAATGGAAGAAGATGAACCATTATCATTGATTATGGATTATGGACAGTTTTTATTGAATATATAATAATTGAAATATCATAACAGTATTTCAAGAATTTATTGCTCCAACTTATTGTTGATTATGATAGAATTTTATTTATCACAGCATGTGCTTGAGGATATCGAATGAAGGACACACGTTCTAATCAATACTTGAAGATTAGTATATATTTTTTCCATTTATTGATTTTGTCTTCGGTATAAAAGGGCTGTGTAATATGTATTTATAGATTCATTTTTCACACTATTCGAGACTCTCTTGACGAGAATTCATTAACAAGATTGTCAAATATTTTAAGAGAACTCAATTTAACTGAGTGAATTGGGAGAACTAGGTACTAGTTTCATAGGTACTAGTTTTTGGATCTTGCGCAGTAGATCTCCAGTTGTTCTGATAATTGTGACTTCAAATATTGCACCCTGAATGATCGCAATTCGTGTTCGAGCATCAAAATAATTTGGTATTTCCTTCAAGTTTCCCTGCAAACAAACGATCGTGTCAAGTTAAGCAGAAAAATCTATAGCACTGTGGGCTTTTGATTTTTTGATTTGCGATTACTTAACTTGATTACTGAGAGAGACAGAAAAATGTTTGAAAACGGCGCTGTCCCGCAATGTATGAAAAAAAAATTAATTGAGCGGACCGTAATCTCTTTACTTTGAAAGAAAAAAAATAATGCCATGATTAGTTCAATCAGGTCTTTCGAAATTTCCGAATATTTGAGCTATAAAAAAAAAAAAAAAATCAAATAGAATTGAAATTTAGAGAGGAAAAATTCCGATTCGCCCAGCCGGGATTCGAACCCGGGTCTCCCAGTTACGCGCCGGGCACTCTTACCGACTAAGCTACCGGGAACCACGGAAATTCTCACTCCAAATTCAACTCTGCACGCCGCCTAACCACCTTTAGGCATTAAATAAATTCAAATAGAATTGAAATTATAAGGTGAACCAACCAATGTTCGAACCAGACCAGTAATCGAACTAATTGGTACTTTTCTATAAAATAAATTAGTACAAGGTAGAGATGCCTCGCATTATACATGAAAAATAAAATTATGACATTTCCAAATGATATTGTGATGATTGAAAATGTCTAAGTTACCTTATTATCAGCGGAAAAAACAGTTTTCGATGACACGCCGCCAATAGCATATTCCCATTACAGAATACGCATTTCAATTACTGGGTTTTCACACATTTTCAGCTTTTTGTATTCATATCATTAATTCCATCGTCAATTAATATCCATAATATTTTTTTCTATTATGTATGGAAATGTACAGAGGAGTTAGAATTATTTTTACATCAATTTTCGACTTGGTTATATTTTTAAATCTACGTCAAAAATAACTGTGACCTTATTCCTTCGAACACTGGACGATTCACCCTATATCCGTTGCGTATCCCCCTTCGAATTCCTTTTCTTTTGTCAATGATCTGGACATCGAGAGAAGCCCCTAGGAACGACAGTCATTTTATGAACATCAAGATTCGTTCTTATCTTTGGAGATCGATCTCAAGACATCTTCATCCTGTGTTACTCTCTATGATTTATTAAATAAACCGCCCCAACCATTTTATTTTTTGTGTCCCACCTTCTTTAATTGAATACAACATTGGTCAAATGATTGGCTATCATTAATTCAAATATAGGTATTCGATGAATCTTATTGTTTCAAACACTGGATAATCGACAATGACTTACGTTTCTATCGTGAATCTCCAACCATTTAATCAAATAAACATTTTCGATTTCTTGTGGGATAGTTTTAGTGAGATATTCGTCCTCAAGCGAAATATCACTTTTTTATATTTTTTTATTGAAGGATTCCTTCAATTTTGGTATCGCGATGATTTATTCATTATTTGGTCATCCAGATTTGGCAGGATTGGTGAATTTTCATTTCCGTCAATACGTGTGTACAACTGTCGGTATAACGATGGATCATAAATAGTATTTGAAATTGTTGGTGAATTCAGTCAACTGGGTGAGACAGATGTAACGGCTGGTCAGAATTTCAAATCTTTTATTGCCTGCGGTAAATCCGGGAGCTTCATATCCTTAATCTGTTGTGGAATGTTCATGTTCTTCACTGCTGACACTGCTCGTGCTGGTGCCGCTGTGATTCCCGCCTTGACACACAGAAATGAATTAAAAAACTTAATATTCTAGAAGAAAGAATTTGATTCACGTACGAAAATTTACAAACTGTTTATTCGTGTTCAATGTATAGTTTTTTGTTGTTATTAAGGCACAATGTGTCAGGGATCAATGAGACTCAGAGTTTCACTTCAAAATAGAAATGTAACATAAATAATTAATTTGCCCAAGCATTTAAATTTTGATAAAGAAATGAATTTTCCATAAATCTCCTTCCATAAATGTCCTGCCAGTTGCTTCGAATTTTAGAATTTTGCACTGCTATGTACTGTGAAATGCATTATTTTGACTAGTTAATAGTTATAGACGTTATCACCTAATAAACATTAAAAATGAACGTAGGGGAGGGTGGAGCAATATGGACACCATATTTAAACAATGAGTTGAATTGGATCAAATTTACTGTTCCTACTTTATTTAGGGTTGTGCGTACCGTATCGATACTTCGGGATATCGATATTTTGAACTCCGATATCCGATATTCCATATCGATATTGCCTTGGCGCGATATGGTGGGTATTGATATTTTTTTCCGATATCGCTATTTTTCGGCGGGAGATGCAAGTGGATGCAGTCGCACAGATATCCAGACAGATACAGAGCAGTTTCGAACGATAACATTCAAAATGGATTGTACACAAGCCGGTAAGTACCCATTTGCGATTAAAGTAAAGTTATCTCTTAATTAGAATTGATAATCCATGTATTTTACATGGAAAACTGTTAACTGAAGGAGGTATGGAAGTCGGGTACCTTAATAACTGTACACACCCAATAGCATAATCCTGGATTGACGGGCAATTTCTTTTTGTTTTTCAGTACCAACTTCCAAAGAAACATAAGCTGTATTTTAGTATCAATCAAAGACAGGCTTATGTTGTCAATGGAGTCGATTTTCAGTTGTACTTGCAACCCTGGCGATTCAGGAGCGACGGTGTAGTGTCGTTGTGGCGTCGTTGATTTTTATTGTCGATTTTGGGGCTAGAAAAGGGGGGATGACCCCTAAAAACATTATAAAAGTTGATATATGAGGTATCCATTCATATTGGTACCGTTAATTGCATTATTATTTATCAATTGGATGAAATTATTTTTAGTGTTAAGAATGATGATCGAAGCATGTAGGGGGAATGCCGCGAGAAGGCGGTAGCGTCAATTTCCCGCTCGGATCGGTAAAGTCGACAGTAGTCGTAGACCAGGCTGGTCTGACCAGTCGTCCGCTGAGCTAGTTAACGGGTGTGCAATGTTGCCGCAAGTTTTGTTATTTTATTTTAGGTAATCAAAAGTGCAGAGAAGATAGGAATTGCATCGGATATATTTTCGTATGATTAACTTTAGATAATAATAATTATTTTTACATTGTTTTAATTTATTTTATAACGTGTTTATTAGGGGGGGGGGCATGATAACACAGAGTTGCAAATTCTAGCCAAGGGGAGGGGATCTCAAAATCTATCTGAGCCACCCCCATCCCTCCGTTCGCATGCGTTAATTAAATAAATTAAGAAATTTTGTTAATTAAGATTTCACGAGGGGGTGGAAGGGGGAGATACGACGGCGGAGGGTCGCAAATTTTACGCAATAAGGGGAGGGGGTTGCCGAATCTGACTGAGCCACCCCCATCCCTCCGTTAGCATGCGTTGATTGAATAAAAAAAATTGTTAAATAAAAAATGAAAATCTGGAAAATTGAGAATACGAGGAGGGGAAGGGGAAGGTACAACGGCGGAGGGTGGCAAATTTTAGCCAACTAGGGGAGGGGGTTCCTGAAACTGACTGAGCCACCACCATCCCTCTGTCCGCATGTGTCATTTAAATTAATTAAAAATTTTTTTTAATAAAAAATATAAATCTTTGTTAGGTGAAATTTCACGAGAAGGTGGAAGGGGGTGGTATGATGGCGCAGGGTTCCAAATTTTACCCAAAAAGAGGAGGGGGTTCCAGAAACCATCTGAACTACTCCTCAGCCCTCCGTTCGCATGTGCTTATTAAGTAAATTGAAAAATTCTTGAATGAAAAATTAAAATTTCCTTAATTAAAATTTCACGAGGGGCGGAAGGGGGAGATACGATGGTGGAGGGTCGCAAATTTCACCCAACAAGGGAATGGGGTTGTCGAAACTGACTGAGCCACCCCCATGCGTTGATTAAATATGAAAAAAGTTAAATAAATAATGAAAATTGGATGACCACCCGTTCAAAACGGAAGCGGATAGGATAACGAAGAAGATGAAAACTGCTGTTCTGGGTCTAGAGATAAGCATTACAGCTTGACGGATTAAGGAACTTGAAGGAAATTGCAAAAACTTAGCATCCAACGTCGAAATGGCTGTCCTGCGAGGACTGTTTGGAGACGTCAAATTCAAGATCTCTGAGATCTATGAGGCGATCTTCAGGTCGGTGAAAATGAAGAAGAGAAAAAAGTTGGAGACTCTGCGAAGTAATTCGGCGCCGGTTAGGGTGTCAACACACGAGAACACGGCTCTTTTCAACTTCACAAATATAGAATCTCCGGAGGGAGTAAAAGGCATCTTGTGCCTAGAGCCTAAATTCGGGTTAGAGGTACGCAATAGTGAGGTGCCTATCCCAACTGTCATCAAAGACCTTGAACTCTGCATTCAGAGTTTAAAGGTGAGGGATATCCCTGAGGAACAACAGTCAGAGGAGAGAAATAACATCAGGGCAGAAGCCATTAACATCATCACGAACTTTTACTTGAAACCGAGGTTCAACAACCGCAGTCAGCGCGACCAAGATGTGATAGCCACTAAGAAATTTCTAAAGGAGAATAGAAATCTGATCGTAGCGCGGTCGGATAAGGGGAATGCCACTGTGGTAATGCACAGGGAAGAATATCGGCAGGTCATGAAGAGGATGCTGGTAGACGAGAGTACTTACCAATGCATTGAGAAAGATCCAACCTTCAAGCTCGAAAGGAGAGCGAATGAGTTAGTAGATAGACTTAAACGCGAGGAGGTGATTAGTGAAGAGAGAGCGAAGGCCTTGAAGACTCACAATTCGACGACCCCAAGGATGTATGGCCTGAGAAAGGTACATAAACCACGGTGCAACCTACGACCTGTTGTTAGCTGTATAAAAGCCCCGACGTACAAGGTAGCTCGGTTTTCACATGAGCTGTTAATCCCTGTGAGTAGTAATTCAAGGTTCAGTGTTAACAACTCAGCTGAGTTTGCTACGTTTGCCGGTGGGGTCCAACTACCGCAAGGTTATATTTTGGCATCCCTAGATGTAGTGTCTCTCTTCACAAACATCCCCAAAAATCTAGTGCTGAAGATCGTGGAGGACAAATGGGAGGAATGGTCCACACGTGTTCATGCTCCGAAAGAGCTCGTGGTAGCGCTGGTAAAGTTTTGCTTCGAAGGTAGTTACTTCACTTTCGATAATGAACTTTACGCTCAAATGGATGGCAGCAGCATGGGCAACCCGGCTAGCCCGGTTCTAGCAGGTATCGTCATGGATTACGTCATCTCAGAGGTCCTGGACAAGCTTCCGTGCAACATTCCATGGATGAAACTCTACGTAGACGATACTGTGTTACCAGTTCCGGAGGACTCTATTGATATGGTACTACAGTGCTTCAATTCCATCAATGATCGGATCCAGTTTACTGTGGAAAGAGAGGTGGAGAGATCCATCAGTTTTTTGGATGTAAAGATACATCGGATGAATGACGGGAGCCTGAAGCTCAATTGGTACCACAAACGCACAAGTTCTGGGAGAGTTATCAATTACGAGTCGAACCATCTGATGGCGCACAAAGTTGGTGTGGTATTCGGCATGTTACACCGAGCAATTGGACTCAGTCACGAGGACTTTCATGAGGCTAATATTGACCGAGTGAAAGACACTTTAACGAAGAACGGTTATCCTGGGAAGTTCGCCATGAAGTGCGTGCGGGAGTTCAAAAATCAAAGAGCTTCTGGGGTTGAGAGAGCGGCAGACCCAGATGCAAGGTCCTGTTTTAGGTTTCCTTTGGTACGAGGATTGTCTCAAAGGCTGAACAGGTGCCTCAGAAGCACAGATTCGAAATTAGTCTTCTACAACCTGAGATCAGTGGGGGATCTGTACTCGAAATTGAAAGACCCGATTCCATTGCTATCGAGGTCAGAAGTTGTGTACAAAATCCCATGCGAGTGTGACAACTGTTACATCGGATAGACTCGGCAGAGGCTGGGCGCCAGGATTCGTCAGCATCGGTATGACTGCGCACCCCGAGGTTTCCTGAAGAAAGCAGCGTTGCCAACCATACCATTATCATGGTATCTATACCATGAATCTTGGCCCTATACCATGAGATCCATCATGGTATCATGGTATCCATTTTTTGGGGGAGATACAGTTTCAGGGGTTATAGGAGGATGGTCAAATTCCATGAGAGTCCAACGAAACAAAGTTCATGTGGGTCAAATATTCACGAAGGTTACAAGGGGATCATTGAATTTTCAAGAGGGTCAAACGTCACAAGAGTCACAAGGGGATACTCAAAATTCACCACAGTTAAATGTCCCAATGCAAATCGAACGAGGGTCAAAAAGAAATACGATGCTCGCGTGAAATTTGATCGTCTCATTGCGACTCTCGTGACGTCTGATCGCTGTGAAATTTGAGCATCCCTTGAGACCCTCCTGACATCATAATGTTGCAAAATTCGATCATCCCCTTGTGACCGATGTGACATTCGTGAAATATGATTGTCTCCTTGTAACCCTTGTGACCCTCGTCATGTTTGACTCTCCTGAAATTTGAATTTTCCCAGAGGAACTCGATTTTATCGGCGGATAGCATTTTTTCCCCTCCAATACCATCTCTTCTCCCTCCCTGTACCATGATCCGAGCGCCACAGGTTGGCAACGCTGGAAGAAAGAGAAAACGGCGTTGGCCACCCACTGCTTCGACAAGGGTGATGGATTCAAGTTTGAGGATGTTTCAATTTTGGACACCGAGACTCATTGG